GTGGCCATTTGTTTGCTTGGTAACTAGAAACATATCAGCATGAATCTGCCTTTAGATGGTCCATGTGCTTGGATTTGCTATCATGTGGTCCAGCTTCATCAGAGCTCGTTTCTTACAGAAAAAAAGAAGTACCTGGTCCTTCTGTGCTTTGATTTTCTTATAGCATTCTGGAATTCCTTACTCTTAAATGAACTCTCCTCGTCCGCCCAAACATGTTTCATGTTTCTTTCTTTTAATTTTTTAATTTACTTTGGCACTTTGTTTTCATATGTTGTACTATATATCAGAAATTTTCCATAGTTGCTTGACTGCTAAATGGAAACAGGGCAGCTATTGTGTTAAGAGCATGGAATCATTTTCTCCCATCTTTAAACTACTTTGGCATCCAAAATAGTTCAAGTACTTTCAAGAGAATTATATATCATATAAATCTGTATAAATTCACAGTGATGTCTTTCCAGCTCTGATGTGAGGTATAAGGAGCACCGTATAAGACTTTGGAGTCAGACAGTCCTAGCTTTGAGTACTGACACATTTACTGATTATGGGCTTCCAGCTATGTTACTTAATCTTTGGGGACTCAATTTCCTCATCTGTTAAATTGGAAAAAAAAATATTTCCTATCTCAAAGAATTGAGATGAAGATTAAATCAAATAAAGCATTTTAAATCCAGGGCCGAGCTCATAGTGAGCACTAAGAAAAGGCAATTATTATCTGACTGAGAGTCATGGCACATACCTAAAAGATTAGTGTCTCAGAGATTATGATTTTACCAGTGCTATGATTAAAGCTGTGTAGTACACGTGGTAATTTAGGTAGATTTCAATGTATAGGTAAATCAAATTCATTCTAAAGAAATAAGACCTAATGCCAACAGATATTTGTTTTTAAAATAATAGTAGTAAAGAACCTTATATTTATATAATACCTTGTAGTTAATAAAATATTTGTACTTGCATGTTTATGTAACCCTTTTAAATCATATGTTTATTTGAAAGAAGAGCATTGCAGGCAGGGGGAGCAGTCAGTTGCCAAGGTCCCAAGGGAAACCATGCCTGGGATATTCGGTGAATATCCAGAAGGCCCATGTAGCCAGAGAAGAGTGACTGAAGAGAAGAGAAAAAGGAGACAATGGTGAGAGAGGAAACCAGAGGTCAGATTGTGTAGGTCTTGGTTAAGTCCTTGGCTTTGCTTTGAGTGAAATGGGGGAGCCACTGCAGGAAGTTGGGTATGACGTGGTCGCATTTCTATTGTATAGAGTGGCCGTGGTCACTCTGCCTGCTGGCTTTAGAATAGTCTGTAAGGGAAGCCTGGGTAAAAGCAAGGAGATCAGTTAAGTGGCATAAAAATGGCCCAGATCTGAAGTGGTCAAAAGGTGGGTCTATTTTAAAGCCTAGAGGCCACAGGATTTCCTGCTAGACTGGATGTGGAGCTATGATAGAAAGCAAGAGTCAGAACAAGTCAGGTTTTTGGCCTGAGCAGTTGCAGGATGGAGTTGCCATTCTTCAGGCAAGTTGGAGTAGGTTCCAGGAGAAACATCAGAAATTCAAAATATCAGTTAGGTGGAGTTCGAAAGGTCTGCCAGACGTCCAAGAGTGTGGCTGTGTAAATATTCACGATGAAAGAATGGAAGCTTATTTGTCTTAGAAGACAAATAAATACAACCCCAAGTAGCAAATGTTATTACCTGAAGGAAGGAGACCAGTTTCAACAGATCACTCATTAGTACTGAGTGATTGATATTCTAGAAAAATTAACCATAGAAAGAGAATCCTTCACTTACTTTTCAAATTGGCTATCAATTAGAGGACCAACTGTGTTCTCAGGCAAAGAGGGAAATCTTTCTATCACTCAACAGCAAAGTGAATGTACAAAACTCCTGTCACTGTGTACATCAATTCCAAGGGGTTCATACATATGCCTACAAGAAATATGAAAATTGCTTTTTAGGATAAGCACAGTTGGAAGAAATGGTCTTGTAGTCAGACAGTACATAGATTTCCCAAATCACAGAATATCTTCCCACTGACTAAAGACTTCTGATCTGCGTGTTTGGGGCTAAATTAACAGTTTTGATTGATAATATAATAATTGACTCTCTTTGCCCTTTAGCTGGGGGAGGGGAGGGCAATGCCAGTTCACATGTATAGTACAAATCTTTAGTCTCAATGAGTCAGGAATAGTCATTATTACCTAAAAGATGTCTATTCACATAAAGTGAACTTGTGTTTGTCTGATAGTAAATTTTCACGTGCTATTTACAACTTACTGCTAATAGTTTATAACCATTAAGGTAAAATCAAAATATATAAATGATTGTACTATAGCTAAATTTGTGTTTTATCATTATGGGTCCAATGAAGAATCTCAGATTACTCATTCAAATACTCCGTGGCACATTCATCCTGAGGGGAAGACAGTTTGACCAGCTTGGAGGATGTTTAGAGGGCAGTGGTGTCAGCAAAAGCAAGGTAGGATGGCTAGATTTTAGAAGGTTACATATCCTATTTCTTAATTGATTTGCATTTGGATTTTATTCCGTGGGCAATGGGAGTCATAGAATCTTTTCAGTTGGGGATTAGTAGAGTTCATTGTAGGATCTTAGGACGATATATATATTTTTTAAATTTATTTTTTATTATTTATTTATTTTTAACATCTTTATTGGGGTATAATTGCTTTACAATGGTGTGTTAGTTTCTGCTTTATAACAAAGCGAATCAGTTATACATACACATATGTTCCCATATCTCTTCCCTCTTGCGTCTCCCTCCCTCCCACCCTCCCTATCCCACCCCTCCAGGCGGTCACAAAGCACCGAGCCATATCCCTGTGCCATGCGGCTGCTTCCCACTAGCTATCTACCTTACGTTTGTTAGTGTATATATGTAGGGCGCTATTTTTACACATAAGGAATATTTTGGGGAAATGAAGAACTACTTAATATGCATGTAATTATAGCGATTTTTATAAGTAATCTAATTGTTGAAAAGGTTATTTAAATAATGTTAAAATATTTCATTAATATTAACTATTTATTTATAAAGGAGAGCTCAAATTAATATCTTCAATATCTGTCTCCAAAAATCCAGATCCACACATATTCTTAGATATTTATATTTAGATGTTTCATTTCCCTGAAATATCTGCAACTAAATTTATGATTTTTGCTACAAACATGTACTTATTTTCAGCCTCCATTTCTCTTTAAATGGTGTCTTCTTACTATCCCAAGAAGATGGATGATAAAATAGAAATACTCTTTTGAGCACCACTATTTTCTCCCCTATTCATTCAGATACTAACTTCAAAAAAAATTGTTTTCCCTGAATAGTCATATATTTGAGCATTGTATGTACCCATGCTAACACTTTACTATAGATTTTATCGCATCACGGGCAGAGAACTTCCACAGCCTTTCCCGAAATAGCCTTTAGGTGTTTCTACCCAATGAATATTTATGACCTTGGTGATGACAGAATAGTGTTGTGGAAAGAAGACAGAGCTGGAAAGGCAGGTGAAATCCCAGTTTTTCCATTTACTAGCTCTGTGAGCTTGGCGTGTTTCTTAACTTGTCTGATCCTCAGCTTCTTTATGTGTTAAGACGTAACGCTTCAGTCATGGGATTATTATGAGGATTAAAAAAGAGAATGTGTAAAAACATCCTGGCATCTAACGGGCCCTCATGGGATGCTAGCTGCACATGATTTCATCCTTCTCCCTCCAGGTTCCAGATGGCTCCCTTTTGTCTATCATGTGAAATATAAATTCTCTTCTAGTTTTCACCTGTGATTCTCCTCTTTGTGCGCATCAGAGGATTACACTTTTTGTCCCCTTGTAGTTAGCAAGACTAGTTGGTTATCTCACTTTTGAGCCATGGCATTTAGTTGCCAGGACCCTCCAATACTCCTTTTGTTTGGTGTGAGAGTTGCTAAAGAGCCCTCTTAATGGGATGGTAGAGCCACAGGATCAAAGCAGACCTGATAGCTGAGTCATAGAGGAGAGTTGCCCTGGAGTATCTTCTGCACCTGCAGTACATTTTATGTGAGCAAGAAATAAACTTGTCCTGTTAAGCCACTGGAATTTCAGGATCCTTCATTACCACAGTATAGCTTTATCTAGCTTATTAAAACCCTGGAATCTTTCCATTTTCTGGCCTCACCATAGCTATCTAATCTTATGTACCTCTTGGACTTTATGCAGTCTGTTTTTACTCATAAGTCATCTCATTTGTTTATGCCTTTGTGTGCTTGTTCATGTTTTTCTTTCTTTCCTGCCTCATATCCACCTAGACTACATAACACCCATGTGTCAGAGGCTTTCTAAACCTCACAGTTACCTAGCAAACAATTTATGCCCTTCAATGTAAACACCCTAAATACATTAGGGTTCTAGTTGCTTTGTGTCATAAACCTTGAGGGTTCCACCTGAGCAGTCTCTGAGTCTTCTGCCTTTTTCCAATCGCATGAACTGGTTTCCCTGTCCCAAATGTCTCTTCCTTCTAATTAAAACTCGAATACCATAGGGTTTATCTCTTGAAAGCATTCCTCTATCATGGATCTTCCCATTTCAGAAGTTTCCCCTGACACTCCTTTGGGCAAAGGCCTAAGGGATACGTTTAGACATTTTAACATGACAGTTGGGGACTTTAAGACCAACCCCAGATTTTTCTTCTACTCTTCTATGCAAACATAACGTGAGCTCTCCTAGTTTCATGATTTTGTCTATGCCATTCACCAGGCTGGAATGCCCTCATTTCAGCCTGTAAAAACCCTATGTTTCCAAAAAACGTTAACCAGGTTGGAAAAGATTGATAAGTGAGACTATATTAAAATTAAAATTGTCTCTTCACCAAAAGACCCCATTAAGAGAAAGAAAAGGCAATTCATAGACCCTAAAACGTATCTACAGTACAAAAAGGGCTTATTTTTACTCTATGTAAAGAACCCCTACAAATAAATTTTTCAAAGTACAACTCAAAAAAATATAGACAAAATACCTGAACAGCCATCTCACAAAGGAAAGAATCCAAATGACCTATAAACATATGAAAAAGTGCTTAACTTTCCTAGCAATCAGCAAAATACAAATGAAAACCACAATGAGAAACCCCTACATATGCACCAGATTGTTTAAAACTTTTAAATCTGACAACACCAAACATCAATAAGGATGTGGAACCACAGAAGAACTTGCCCAGCAGGTAAGAAAGAACGTTATTAAAACACTGGGTATAAAATTAGCATTATCTTGTAAGGTTAAATATGCACATAAATGATGACCCAGCAATTAAATTCTTAAATGTGATTATGTGGGCCAGGATTCAAACACAAAAATGTTCTAAGTAGCATCGTTCCTAATAGCCAAAAACCTGGAAGCAACTCAAAAACACATCGAAGAAACAATGACTTAATAAATGATATTAAAAAAAGGAAAAGAAAAGAAAATAAAGAATGAGCACCAAAAAAATAAATAAATAAAATAAATGATATAATTATGTAATAGAATACAGCACTGAAAGTAAGTAAAGAAGTTCCATGGATTTCACGGGGGAATAGTAAAACCACAACGTTGAGCAAAAGAAGTCAGATAGAGAAGAATGCATACTGCCAGTTTCCAATTAAAAAAATCCCAAAACAGGCAAAATTAAAATACATTGTTTAGGGATGCACACTCAAATAGCAAAACTATAAATATACATAAAGCAAAGCAAGAATGTGACTGCCATCATATTTAATAGGGAAGTCATCTCTAAGGTAGGGTTGAAGGAATGAGCATAAAGGTTAATTAGGAGGCAGGTAGGATGATAGTTACATGCTACTGCCTTAATTTTTTAAATTTTATGCCTTTTTATGTTTCTGTTATTTATTATTTGGCAATAAGAAAAAAATTTAAATCTTATGCATCCTTCAAGACCTACTTCTCCATGGAATCCATTCTAATCACTGTACTCTATGAGTTTTCTTTCTCTTCTGAACATTGAGTCATTATCTGTAAGAATCAGTTAGGCATTGACTTACGATATTGCATCAGTGGTTATCTTGAAGTGTAAGGTACCTATTTTGTAGTGGTTCAAACAGTGTTTTATTATAGATCATGTCTCCATGCAGCTCTTAAATCCCATTGCGATGATTTACACTTGCAAGATATCCAATTTTTTTGTTCACAATGATAAGAGAGCTATATACATAATTATAGATTGCAAATCTAGGGAATGCATTATTCAAGTACTTATTTCTCAAAAGTTCAAATGGTATTATTGTATATCATAGAGGGCAGTATTGTGTTCTAGGAAGAATATTGTAATAGAGATGAAGAAGTTTGAGTTCTAGTTCTTTCTTTACTAGATTTTGTCTTAACTAAGCCATTTAAGTTTTCTAAGTGTTGAGTTCTTCATGTGGTATTTGGGCTAAATTCTACTTTCTAGTTCTAATAGTCTATGAGTCTTTAAAATATCATTTTATAAAAAGAGTCCAGGACCTATGTTCAGAATCCCTTAAGGAAATAATATCAGAAAGTCCAGAGGTTATAAGGGAGAACTTTTGAGGAAAAAAAATTGGACCTGTTATTCCTTGAACAGGTTAAACACATTTTTTTAATTGAAGGAAAGCTCAGTAAGTTTAAAATAAAAAGGCAAATAAAAATATAAAAATAGAGAAAAAAATTGTGATACACAATGGCAAACCACTTTTTTTTTTTTTTTTTGAAGAATGGATGAGATGAGTCACCAACTGACTCTGTGACCAAAAATCTTAGAGGAAATTCAGAAACAGAAGCTGAATTGAGAGAACTGAAACAGCCATCAAGGAAATAAAGACATACATGTTTACTTTTCATGGGCGAGGACATTAGGTATTCAGTTGTCTCAATTTGCCATTTTATTTCAAAGATTTGTTTGGAAGAAAATAGTGTATTCAAATTTAGATGGTAATTATAAAAGATTATTGGTAAATAACTTGAATAGTCATGAAATCATAATCTCTCAAGAGATAGAAATTTTGAAGGTTCTTTATTCCTGATACCTAATCATTAAATATGCCTGAGTCAGTTTATAAAATACCTGCTGAGTGGTCATCTAGCATATTCTTGAATGTCTCCTTGCCCAAGAAGCTCCAAGGAGCTACTAATATGTACTAAGGGTGAGATCACAGAACCTTTTACTCTTGCAATATTAGTTTCAAAGACTGTCATTGTATTTTCACACAGAGGGCTACTTTTTATTGAGAGATTATTTTACTACTCCCCCACAAATTATATCATTTTTGTTTCTTTTACATCATAATATATATATTTGACTCTCCTCCGTTTTATTTACTGTTGTCAGTGAACACTTCTAAGAAATAATACTTTCTGAGGGTGGGATTACATGCTTATGTTTCAAATACTAGCATGAATCTATGACTTGGAGCACCAAAGCTCTATAAATCCTATATGGAGGGCTGAGAAAACAGTTCCTATCCATCTCATTGGACAATCCTATTTCACCTTAAATGACTGAATACAGTTTGACCAGGTCATGGTAAACTTACTTGACGGTTGCCTCTCCACACATGTGGACCCTTTTGTGTTCAAGGCTGAAACGAAATTTCCTAGAGACAAAAAAATTAAAGTATTATAGAACAAAAGTAAAATACCATCTAAATACCACACAGAACACAGAGCTGCTTTGAATTACTTCCTCTTTCTGTTTTTCCTTCTTTGTTACAGAGTTTCTCTATAAAGTTGGAAATGACTCTCCCAGAAAACATGTTACAACCTTAGGTGTTTTGCCATAGGAAAAAGAGCAATATTTGCTCACATAAAATCAACTGCCATTCTGTTTATAGATAAGTACTTGAAATGGATACAAGTTAGATGGTTTATCTAGAATGGCTAAAAAACAAGACAGAACTAGACAATTTTATTACATTTATAGAAATGCATAGCAAAAAATATAAGTGTGAATGCATTATGTGCTTTCAAATTTTACTTCATCTGACACTGTAATCCTGGCACTACCAGGGCAGTCTGTGCCTTAAGGCATGAAAGATGTCCCTGCATTCAGTGCACTCAATGTATTTTACTTAACTGTGCAATGGTGGCACATCTTCAACTTTTCTTTGAGTTCTCAGTCAAAAGATAAGTGGCTTCTTAGTTAAGATTCTTATAATTTGTACATTCCTTGCTGCAGTGCCTTTTCTTTGTGAGAAATATGATTTTACATATCTGTATTTTTGACTGTATTTTTTGGCTTTTGGCTGTGACACCACCTGGTTTAATAGAGTCATTTATTCTATAGCATGCTCCTGATTTTTATCTTTCCTTTTTATTATGTTGAACATAAACTTGAATTAATGCTTGTTATTATGTTCACAAAAGAGGACTGCTCCTTTTGGAGAGGCTGTTCAACAGCTTCCCAAAGAAATAGCTTTTTATTTGACTGTGGGCCAGAGACCTCTGTTCTAGCAGGGTTGTGTCCACAAGCACATCTGTGAAAACATAACTACATACTCATTGCCCAAAAACCTCCTCAAATCTTGGCCTTCTACGTATTTTGATCATTTATTTGCCTCTGTCTTCTTTATTTCCTCATTATGTAGATCAGTGAATAGACACAATATGTTTCATGCAGGAAATCCTCAGGACACATAGTGTGCAATGTAGAAATGTGTTACTACCAGATTTGTCTGCAGAGGCTAACATTTAAATCACATACGGCTAACCTAAAACATAAATGTTATTGACTTTGTGTTATAAAATTTGGCCTGTTTAGTATTTTGGAAATATTTTTTAATCTCTGATGCTTAATTATTTTGTGTGCTAAATTTGTGTTATCTTTATGGCTTTCTAAGAAAGATGTCACCTATCTAATTTTGGCTTTGACTTCTAATAAATAAATAGAATAAACTAGTAAATTATATAGTGCATAAGGTGATAGGTACCATGGAAAATGGCAAATGGACAAGGGAAATGACATTAAGGGACAGTGTGGAAGACTGCTGAAGTACCTGGAAATAGCGTCATGAGGGAAGGCCTAATTGCAGCTTGGCAATTAAATGCATCAAAAGTAATCAATATTGAGGTATTCCAAATAAAATATTAGGGTATGTGTTCCTATGCAATACATATTTCTCATAGACTTTGGTCAGGTACATACACAGGCCACACTTTTCTGGGAGAGCACTCAGTATTTCCTTAAGAGGTAATTTTGACATAACTCTGAATTCCCTATGGAAGCTTAAATTCATAGTCATTCATCAATTTCATTCTAGCTTATATGGATGTTGACTCAGAAATATTAAGTTTGAGCAAAATGGCCTAGTTTCACTTTTATCATTTTTGTGGCAACTACTTTTCTTCTTTTTTAGATGTTAATAGTAAGGTTAAATACATAAAAATCAAATAGTAGATGAACATTAAGAAAGTAAATAATCATTACTAGATACTGAAAGTCCCATAGTTAAGCTGTATTAACTTAAATGAATCATTTCTTTACATGTAAAGGTTAGCTATTTCAAAGCCCAAATTGAATTTCTTTCTTGTATATTTGAGCAGACATTCAACTGTGCTGTTTTATTTCCAGGAAGACATTTATACGTGCTCATTCTTTTCATATTTGCTATCCAACTAAAAAAAGAGCCACAAGACTACCAAACTGAATCTAAACCAATAAAATATTTTAACACATCACTTCTCACATCCATAAATATACTCTTATTTTTTATCTTGGCCACTTGAAGAGCCAACAAAAGTGGGAGAGTTTATGTTAAATAAAAAGGCAACTAAACTTTGTAACATGAGCATAGCAAAGACATATTAAAATTTAAGTGAATGCGTCAGTTCACAGATATATTCATTTAGGTCACTAACACTCAAACTCTGAAAGCAGATTTAGCATCCAGACAGTAGAATGCAAATAAATACTCACCTTGATTGCTTTTAGTTGTTGAATCATGTTTCCTAAATTAGTTCGCATGTAAAGTAGTCCAATTCATTCTAACTAACTGAACGTGGGTCTACTTTTCCTTTCTTTTTGTTTAGTTTAAGGTCAGTATTATTTGTAATTGTTTTAAAAGCTTTTAGTCTTACCCCAGCCCACTTCAGTAGTGCACAGAAGCAGAGATCTAATAATGTGGTCGGCAGTTATTTGCTCTGTCCACCCATCTAGGCTTCCTTCTTTGCCAGTGGAGTGCAACATTGCATCAGGTATTTACCGCTGGAGGATCGTGATCCTTTCCCCTGTTTTAGGGGGAAATCCTGATTTCTCTAACATTTAAAGAAATTCCCTTCACCTTAACACTTAATTAGCTTAAGTGATCAAGTTTCTGTTCAATGAGGTGTCGAGGAAGATCTGTTGAGGGACTTCTGTGAATGATTTCTTGTTCTTTTACGGAGCATTTACTACCTTTTGTTTAAAAGTAAGTTTATTCTGTGTTCCCCAACTTTGTGAACCTGAATTTTTTACACATTACAGATTATACCTTTTTAAGGATGCAAAAAACTTCACAGTCTCTATGTTAAGTGAAAAAAACAGGATATAAACACACAATTTTATATACATAACAATATCAAATTTATGAATATATTTGGAAGAGAATATGATATGTTAACAGGGGTTATCTTAAATCACAATGGTGTGATTTCTTAAATTGAATTAACAGAGTTTTAAAAGGAATATTTCTTATTCTTTATAATTAAAAATTTTATTAAAAAATGCTGTATGTATTTTTCTATTACATATTATAAAGAGGAATTATTGCCACCACAACAGTGAAACAGAGTACATTTCATTAACCTTGGTACCTTTAATTACCAAGCTATTTCTAAACTTCTGAATAAGGCAGTCCCCTGCAGTGAAAGTTTCCAAGAGAAAATTAATGGTTAGGTATTATCTGATATTGACTCTGGAGAAGGGAAGAAAAAATGGTTTCTGGAGAAGAAACTTCAAACAGAGAAGAAAGTAAGAATTGAGTGTCCATTCTGATGGGTGGGGTCTGGGAGTTGGAGCAAAGATATGCATTAATGAACTCTAGGGTATGGTGAAGAATTTTCCACAGAGTTGCAAAATATTAGTTTCCAGGATGTTGATAGGTTTTCGGTTAATAATCAAATAAAAATTTATGTAATAATGTAATTTTTGGAGACCCTAAGTAACAGATTTTTAATTTACATTATAATATTTTCACATATGAGGGAACATTTTATGCTATGTTTCCTAAAATTATTTATCCAAGGTTAAATTGCCCCTCCCCTGCCTTCTTCAGCAGGGAATCTTATAGGACTAGGATTCCATCATAGACATTTTGGAAAATACTGAAGAGTGATAGATATGTCTGAGACTTTAATGAGTGCCCCAGAGAGTTCTCTGGGAACCATGGTTGCTATGGAAAGGGGGGGGCGAGGGTGAGCTGAGCTATTCCCATGCATGATCCCAGCATTGGGACTGGAACATTTTCACAAGCATCAGCTCCATTAGAGAGTCCTCAATTGGGCAAGGTAGTCTTGTCAAATAGCCAGCATCTTAGGAATCATGTGAAGTTTCCAGGTGTTGGTTGAATACCTGGCAACCTGATGACTAAAACTTGTATATGGAAATACAGTCAAGAATAGTCCAGATATATAAAGACCCAATATTTTCAAATTAAATGTCATATCATTATGTCATGACCTGTCTGCCCATGAGTGCCCTCACACCCTCTCTGCTCTAAGCAGTACTTTGCCAGTTAACATGTTGGCTGTGAACCTTGAGCCTCCCTGGCACATCAGTAGAGTTCTAAACATATTTCCAGTGTTGTGTTAATGCTAGTACCCGGCCAGGTAACATAGAACTGGGTATGTGTGGCGGTATATCTGTGTCAATATTTTCCTCTCTCCATATTTCATCTTTTTCATATATTGCAGTTCCCTTTTAAGGCAAAAACTATTTGGCCACATTCTTTAAAAAATGTATACTACAGGAACTTCCCTGGTGGCACAGTGGTTAAGAATCTGCCTGCCAATGCAGGAGACATGGGTTTGATCTCTGGTCCAGGAAGATCCCACATGCAGTGGAGCAACTAAGCCCATGCACCCCAAGTACTGAGCCTGCACTCTAGAGCCCGCAAGCCACAACTACTGAGCCCACGTGCTGCAACTACTGAAGCCTGCACAATCTAGGGCCCACGTGCCGCAACTACTGAGCTTCTGTGCTGCAACTACGGAAGCCCACACCCCTAGAGCCCATGCTCTGCAACAGGAGAAACCACCGCAATCAGAAGCCCACGCATGGCAACGAAGAGCAGCCACTGCTCGCTGCAACTAGAGAAAAGCCCGCGCACAGCAACCAAGACCCAACGCAGCCAAAAAAAAAAAGTATACTACATAAATGATAAAGTATTATTATTTCAAAGTTTTAAAAAATGGTTAATATTTTGCTTCAGTTCCTGAGCTCTACGCTATTTTGGAAATAAGTTTTATTATCATAATAAATCAGTAGACGAATGTGTTTTCAGATAAACTGTTGAGTTATTAAGAAGTAAACTTTATATTTTAAAAATATGTATTTCCGGGTGTCCCTGGTGGCGCAGTGGTTGAGAGTCCCCCTGCCGATGCAGGGGACACGGGTTCGTGCCCCGGTCCGGGAGGATCCCACATGCCGCGGAGTGGCTGGGCCCGTGAGCCATGGCCGCTGAGCCTGCGCGTCCAGAGCCTGTGCTCCGCAAAGGGAGGGGCCACAGCAGTGAGAGGCCCATGTACCGCAAAAAAAAGAAAAAGAAAAAAAAAGAAGAAAATGTATTTCCATTATTGGGAAGGAAAGTGTGAGATTCTGAACTATGGAAAATTGATAAAGAACCTCACAGTAGATGGTAAAACATATGCTGTAGTGTAGGTGGTTATCAATACATGATAGTATATGTGTAAACATATGGATTTTATGCAAATATTTTTATTAAGCCTGCTGATTACATTCGTAGATGTCACCTTATGAACATAATAATAGTCGGCTCCCATATCAGTGCATTGGAGACTGTTAGTCCTGATGATGGCTCTTTGTAAAATCCCTCGGGGCAAGACTTCTTCAGTCACTTGTTCAGAGGTTTTTAAACTCTAGTCCAGACCCAGGGAATTGTATTCAAAATTTGTGGGTATGTGTTTATTCATTTTCAAGTGAGAATGTCCAGAGCTTTGGTGAGATTGACAGTGCTGGCCCGTTACCCAGGAGAAGTGAAACATCAATGCTTTGGCACTCCAGTTCACAAGGGCAGGGGGAGCTGTGGCAACCTCAGTATGTGCTTAGTGTACTTGCTGCACCTGGATTGATGATTTGAAAAAAGCTTGGAGGATTTATCCTTAGCGTTACTTCAACCATCATGTAATCTTTTAATTGAAAGTGATGTGAAGATCCATTATAGTAGGGCTCAATCATGTCTGCACTTTGTCCATTATTCCTGGGTTATTTCCCATCTGGTGTGTGTGTGTGTGTGTGTGTGTGTGTGTGTACGTGTGCGTGCCGCACGTGCACACATGCACAGGCAGCAATGACCCTCTCAGTAGACCCTTTGGTGTAGTGTGACAAACTAGAGTTAGAAGATAAGTCCTAAGGCTCAGTTTTAGGAAGGAATATTCCTGTTCATGTAAGCTTAAGCATTTACAAAGTTTGGAGTTTGCTTTTTCTTAACAAATCAGTTGGTAGTTTGAGTTCATAGTTCTAAGATTATTTTGGCGGGGGTGGTATGTCAGAAGCTTTCAGAGTATTTTTAAGACTATCAGTCCCACACTATCACTGACTCTCAAGTTAAGGATGGCTTTGCTTCCAATCCTGAAAAGTACCAAAAACGTTTAGATTCTGGCATTTTAATACACATGCACACACACAAAACCACAAATAAGATCTTTTGCTGCAATTGTTCTTCTTAAGCATATACTAAGTATTGGACAAATCTATTACGAGAATAAAGAGGATGACTCATGCTTGAATCATAATAGACCTCTTTGATCGCTAAAATGAGGAACTATAAAATCTTTATTTGGTCAGCTTCAAGGAGAAAATGATTGTCCTTCAAAGTCTTAGGCATTTTGTCGTGTGGAAGGGATCAAAGCAGTGGAAGCTGCTAATTCAATTTTCTAACAATAAACAGAGAGTTGTGTCCTAAAGTACAATAATTGTCTTCCCACGGTTGGCTGAGGGAGAGGAGCGTTACATGCGAACCTCCAAGTATCTACAGTGTTGGGCTTGCACATCCTCCTCCTCCTGGCTGCTGATCTGGCTTTTTCAGCAAATGTCGTCTGACACTTAGTGACTCTCATAATAGACTTTTTGCTGGCTCATCACAAAGGATGAGGTAGAAAACAGAGCAGGACACTACGAAGCTGAAAGGAGTGGGTTTCCTTTGGTTTGGCTTAGTCAAAACATCACATGCCCTTCAAATTCCACCCTCACCGTATCAGCCTTCTGCAAGCAAAGCATGTGGAGGATTTCTTTTTTCTTTTTTTTTAAAATTTTATTGGAGTATAATTGATTTACAGTGTTGTGTTAGTTTCAGGTGTACAGCTACGTGATTGTTATACATATGTTCATTCTTTTTTAGATTCTTTTCTCATATAGGTTATCACAGAATATTGAGTAGAGTTCCCTATGCTAAACAGTAGGGTCCTTGTTGGTTATCTATTTTATACATAGTAGTGTGTATATGTTAATCCCAAATGCCTAATTTATCCCTCCCCCTATGTTTCCCCTTTCATGACCGTAAGTTCATTTGTATCTTTTTAAAAAAAATTAGATTCCACATATGACTGATATATGATATTTATCTTTCTCTGTCTGACTTATTTCACTTAGTATGGTAATCTCTAGGTCCATCCATGTTGCTGCAAATGGCACTATTTCATTCTTTTTTGTGGCTGAGTGGTATTTCATTTATGTATGTACCTCTTCTTTATCCATTCCTCTGTCAATGGACATTTAGGTTGCTTCCATGTCCTGGCTATTGTAAATAGTGTGGCAATGGACAATGGAGTTCATGTATCTTTTCTTTCTTTAAAAAATTAAAAAAATTTTTTTTTATTGGAGTATAGTTGATTTACAATGTTGTATTAGTTTCAGGTGTA